AACAGCGCAGGGAGATGACCCAGCCAGAGGGTTATGCCAGCCCAAAGGTGCAACAGCACAGGGAGATGACTCAGCCTGAGGCCCATGCCAGCCCAAAGGTGCAACAGCGCAGGGAGATGACTCAGCCTGAGGCCCATGCCAGCCCAAAGGTGCAACAGCACAGGGAGAAGAGCCTGGCCTATCCGGCCGAGAGATCCTCTTTGAAAGCATGCAAGCCTCCATCCGGGACTGTCTTCCTCAACGAGGTTGACCTTGCCTACCGAAGCGCGGCGGAACTCCCTTGCCAAAAAAACTCAAAGCGGAAAACTCTGGGCTCGTGTGAGCACTCCGACTATAGCTTCTTCTCAAGTTTCTTTCAAAGAAGCTCACCGACCACGAAGAGGGCAAGTTCGGGATTCCTATCCCTGGAATCGAAGACATCCACGATGACAAGAGGAGGGGAGTACGAAATCGACATCGCGGGCGCATCATGGCTGCTTCGGGGCGCGCTGAAGAATAACGAACAGCTGAAAAGAATCCCAGATCGGTCACCCTGGTCCCTGAACTCTTTCTCCCTCACGCGAGGATGTCGACACAGGTCGGACATCACGAAGCCTTGCGTTTGGTTCTCCGGTGATGTGGTTAATAAAGAATACGAAAAGTGGAGTAAGACTAATAGCGATCCCCTCCCTAATATCTGTAAATTGGCCTCGAAATCCTACTTGAATGACAGAAAGGAGAACACCAGAAGGATATATGCGGGCCGGCGTCGCTCCTTACTACCTCAATGCTATGACATCGAGGATGATGAATACGACCTCTCCAGTATCAATTTCAACAGAAAAGTACCGAGCCCCAGTTTCAACCTAAACAATTTCACTAAGGTAAGTCCAGTAAACAAAAGTCCAATTCAAATCAAAAATACTATAGCCGTAGATAAATCAAATACCATATCGAATGATCAAACTCAACTGAAAATGCATTATTTAGGAATTTCATTTTAAACGCCATTTTATATATTAGAACAAGGCGACTTTGGAATAAAAAAAGACCCCTACAGGCTCAAATGTTTTTTCCCGATTAATCTACACTTGTCTAACGCTATCCAACAATACCATACAGTACACAAGTTAGCTGGTAATGAAGGTGGCAATTTTGTTATTTGTGTGATGCTTTCTGTCAAGGGAGCATGATATTGCTCTGTAGGAAAAAACGTCTTGGAAGGTCACTCCGTATTTTTTGGATAAATACATACCGTTTTAGTTTATGCCCGGCACGAGGACATATTTTTTTCCCTTCGCCTGAACTTCTGTTCACAGTCACAAGAATCAAATGTTGATGTATGGAACAACAAGAGGATGATGGTTATACTTGCTTTTTTATTTGTTACTTTATAAACAGATGTCCAACATTGCTTGTAAGTATATGATGTATTGTACTTACTTACTTTTTTACTTTAGCTTTTATTCCAATAAATATATGTACACGCGGAAAATAGTTTTCGGATATCTTTCTCATAAAAACTCAGAAGTATTTCCCCTAGGCCACTAATCAAGTTGAATTTCTGATTTCTTCTTTAGTTTCTATATCCTTTTTTATACTTTCAAATCTCACCAAAGTTATCGTATATATATGCCATATGTTCCTTAAACGCTTTATTGTTTTTCCATTGAAAATAAAGGACCTTAGGTAATATGACATATATGCACCTTTAATTTGGCAAATAGAGGTTTCTCTGTTTTATTTGTCGCAGATTTGATTGATCTATTATTATTATTATTCACTATTTTCTTGGTATGTTTTTATTAAAAAGCATAGCATTACAGTTTTACGTTTATTTCAAGAATTAAAAAAAAAGTAGTCCCATTCATACAATGAAATGGAGAATTAAAAACAAAAAGATAAAGATTACGCAAATGTATAATTATATCCTAAAAGAGCATCTATTCTTAATAGCTTAAATATACGATTAAAAAACTTCATGGTAAATGAAATATCGAATTATCACTTTAAGAAAGCAAAGTAAAATAGCTATTCTGAATTAGATACCCTTTTGATCAGTTGTGTGTTTTTCATATGAGAAATACCTTAATTCTTTCACTACTCATGCATAAAAGCTTTAGCCCTACAGCTTTTATGGTAACAATTTGTTATAGGAACTTTAACTTAAAACCCTCAGAGTTAAGGATAACTCTCAAGGCGTATTTATTCGTCTTGTGTGCATTAAACACTCTTTTAAGGACATGGAAACAAAAAGGGGATAAACATTTTATATATTTGCTAAACCATTTATGCATCCCCTATTTTTTTTCAGAAAAAAATATGTGCTACGCGTTCTCAAAAGACGCTAAATTGCGCTTGGGATTCAAATTTCAACTTTTAGAGGGGCCAAAGTCGAGAGAGTGTTAATTGAACATATTTGTATTAGGCGTTTATTCTTATTTTTTATGTACATGATGCCGACGGAAATGGATTGACGCTTCTTTATAGGGGTTATGCCCTATAAAAATACAGTTTGCTCTTTATTAGCTTTATTTTACTCCTCCTGTTATCATTTCCCTACACAATATAAATGATTAGTAAATAAACTCTGTTTCTCGAAGTTCGGGTTTCCCTGAATCTATTACCTCTTTACTATTTTTATTAAACTAAATTTACCTTTGGAAAAAGGTATCATTTCTGTGCATGTTAAGATATATATATATATATATATATTTATATACACACGACACCTTTGGTGTGAACTCCCTATTATAGCTGTTTAATTTCCATTCGAGGTTTAGAAAACTAATACCACTACTAAGAAGAGGAAGAATAACTCCCTTCATGGATACGGATAGCTTAGAGCGGCATGGGTGGTGGATCCGCAAGTCTGTAACCGAACCTCTCTCTCTCTTCCCCCGCAACTCTGTTGTTTTCTCCCTTTTTTAGCACCTTCCTTCCGATTTTTCCATTACTAACGTTGAGTCGCGACATTCCACCTGTGCGCTGGTTGAACGTGCGAATTTATAACAACCCCCCCTTTCCCCTTCCCCCCAAACAACAACAACAACCCCCAACGACCTTCCCCCAGCGACCGATCCGTTGATCTTGGGTAGTTGAGTTATCCAGGGAGGGAGATGTCATCCACGCCGATCCCTACTGCGAGCGAGGGCAAAGGCTCCCCCACCATCGCGGGGAACCCGGCCAAACGCCTGAACAGCCTCTCCGATGAGGAGAAAAAGGAGATTTACTCGCTCACGAACGATCAGCTCCAAACGCGGTCGCGGCAACTCCAGCAGGAGATTCAGAAGCTGCGCGGGGTGGAGCGGCGGACGATACAGGAACTTCAAAGCCTCAAGGCCGAGCTCGAGGAAGGAAAAAAGCGCGTGCGGGATAACAACCGCCTCCCTTACTTGGTGGCGAACATCGCGGAAATTCTCGATCTCAGCGACGACGACGACGGGGATGGGCAGGAGCTCGACGTCGGGCGGCGAAAACACGCGCGTCGGCAGAAAAGTGCGGTGATTAAAACATCCAACCGCCATACCGTCTTCCTGCCGGTGGTGGGGCTGGTGGATCCGGCGAAACTCGTCCCGCAGGATCTCGTTGGGGTGAACAAGGACACCTTTCTCGTTCTGGATACGCTGCCGCCGGAGTACGACAGCCGTGTGAAGGCAATGGAGATTGAGGAACGGCCGAAAGAGAAGTACACCGACGTGGGGGGCTTGGACAAGCAGATTAACGAGATCATCGAGGCCGTCGTGATGCCTTTTACCCACAAGGAGCAGTTCGAGAAGATCGGCATCCAGCCGCCGAAAGGGGTGTTGTTGTACGGATCGCCGGGGACGGGCAAGACGATGCTCGCGCGGGCCTGCGCGGCGGCCACGGACGCCTGCTTTTTACGCCTCGCCGGGCCGCAGCTCGTGCAGATGTACATCGGCGATGGCTCCCGCATCGTCCGCGACGCCTTCGCGATGGCGAAGAAGAAGGCCCCGGCGATCATCTTCATCGACGAGATCGACGCCGTCGGCTCCAAGCGAAGCGATGAGGGCAAACACGGCAGCCGCGAGGTCCAGCGCACGATGCTCGAGCTCCTCTCCCAGCTCGACGGCTTCGGCAGCAGCGATAACGTCAAGGTCATCGCGGCGACGAATCGCATCGACGTCCTCGACCCCGCCCTCCTGCGAAGTGGGCGGTTGGACCGCAAGGTGGAGTTCCCCCTCCCCGACGAGGAGGCCCGGATGCGGATTCTCGAAATCCACTCCAGGCGGATGACCCTCCACAACGATGTCAACTTCGACGAGCTCTCGCGCTGTACAGATGACATGAACGGCGCGCAGCTCAAGGCGGTCTGTGTGGAGGCCGGCATGCTCGCCCTCTGCCATGACCGCGTGTACGTCGCGCACCAGGACTTTGTGGAAGGTATCGCCGCCGTCCAGGCCCGCAAGAAGACAAACTTGAACTATTATGCCTAGAATTTTAAAAAAAAACTGTAAAACAATGGCAACACCATAAAAGAAGGGTAAGATGTCAAGTCGAGGTGCGGCAGGCGTCATGGGATAAGAGGCAAAAAAAAGGAATGAGTGCTTGAAAAAATGAACAAGCGGTGCGGTGGTGCGGGTCCAAGGCCGTGCTTCTGCTGGAATAGGGACGTTGCGGTTGAGCTATCGGTATGTGTTTTTATGTCAGTATCTTACAGAGAGTAGACGTTATCCATAGGAAAAGAAAAAATACTGGGAGAACGTTCCAATGAGACTATAGGAAATGATACAACGCTTTTTAGATCATATTGGTGGAGTTTGCAATAAATGAAAATTTTCTGATGAACCTATATATATCTATATATATATATGTATATATGCATGCATATATGTATACATTTATGAGGCCACACGAGTCGTAAGTCGAACATATCACTGCCGTTTTTTATTTTTGTGATTTTATATTAAAAGGTTTATCATTGCAACTTGGGTGGTAATTAATCCATACAAATGGATACATATGCATATATATTGGGGGTAGATTTCAGAAAAATAATCAGGCGCACCTTTGGCCGCATCCACAAAGGGTTTTTGATTTCCGTTAAAAAGTTATAAATATGAAGTATACTCTTGTGTACGCCTCCTTCTCTCCTTCATCTTTCTTAAAAAATGGGCTATTTCACCGTCTTCACATCTGTGGGAGGTTGTTTTTACCTCTTTTTTTACACACAAGTGTTTTTTATTGTTGTTGTTGTTGTTATTTGCTACCATTATTTTTGTTGTTTGGGTCCTCAATGCTGGCCCAGGCAAGCAATGAGGTGCAAGACCCATCTGCATCGGAACTCTCCACAAACCCCAATGTCGAGGGAGAGGTGACCGTGGTTCCCAATCCAGTGAATCCACTCGAGGAAGACCCTTCGGAGGAAGTCCTCCTCTCGCCCGAGCCCAATCGACGAAACCGACGCCTTCACGAGCTCCCAACAGTACCGCCTACAATTGAAATGAATATTCTTCCCGAATTTGGTCCGATTAACGAGGTGGAGGAGGAAAACGCGGACACCGCGAGGCGCCCTGGGGGCATTTCAATCGACACCCACGTGGTCCGAGCCCAGCAAATGCATTACAGCAAAGTGGCCGAATCCAAGGCCGCCAAAGCAAAAGATCCCACCGAGACGAAGCGTCGTCTTATGCAAAATTTCCGTTCCTTGCAGAAAACCATCAACTCCGGCGTGAGTGTTGGGATTTCAGCCCATCCTATCAATGGGGACCTCTTCCACTGGCGGGCGGTCATCTCCGGTCCGGAAAACACCCCCTGGGAGGGAGGGCTGTTCAAATTAGATCTCACCTTCACTGACGAGTACCCTATGGAGCCGCCGAAGGTTCGTTTCCTCACGAAAGACATCTTTCACCCGAACGTGTACATGGATGGGAATATCTGCTTAGATATTCTGAGGGGCTTCTGGAGCCCGACTCTCGACTTGGAGAGTTTGCTGGTCTCCATCATTTCACTGCTTTCCGACCCTAATCCAAGCTCCGCGGCCAACTGCGAAGCCGCGCGGATGCTATTGGAAAACAAGCAGATGTATGAAAGTCGCGTACGTAGCCTTGTGGACCAATCCCTCGAACAATCCTTTAGTGATATCGATGACGAGTCGGCAGGTCTCTGACGATCTATCGAAAACAGGGTCAAACTGGATGGAGTTAGGGAATGATACAGATGCTGTGTCATCACGTGAACTTTGAAGACATATTGGAGGAGACCGCTATTACTTTTTTTTTAAAACATTGAAGCGATATAAGTCTATATGTCCTGTATCTAAAAGGTCAATTATTAATGTATTTTATTAAATTATCTCTAACCTTAACCAAAGAAAGTTGATTTTTTTTGTGCTTCTTTTTTTTACTGAACAACATTAAGAGCGCTAGATGTCGTAAATATACAAAAAGGGATCTTTAGAGTTACATTGTGGGAAGTTCATAGTGTATGTTTCTTTTTGGTTTCGCATTGGCACTTTTTAATAAAGAGAAAATTCTGCTTACATACTATCTCATGTTCTTTGCCAAGCCAGAATAGTTATATTTGCTGTAGGGTTATATATCACCGATGTGCTGATCACTGAATGGTATATTCAAGGCAATCAATACCAAAGTGATTCTTCTCGTGAGTTTCATAAAACACGCACGTGTATATGGACTTTTATTGGAGAAGGTAAGTCTATGATATTCAAAGAAAATGAACTAAGATGCCTTTTTACTGGTAGTATGTGTTGCGTGTAGATCATTTATTTTCCCATCATTGCTTTCCTTTTTGCTGTTTTTATTTTATTTGTTAATAGGAGACCATTAAACAAAGGTTGTTGAAAGCGCATAGTAATCCGTATTTTTATTATTATTATTATTGCTCGTACTTCACCGTACACGGATCTTATACTTTATGCGAAAAAAAAATGATCAATGAGGAAGTCTTTATGTTTTCCCCTCAACTTCGGCTGATTCCCTATCTTTCACATCACGTCCCGCACTATCATGCGTGGATGTGCAATCCAGCCCTGCTGGCCGCGACGGAAAGTGAGCCTCTTAGCCTGGAAGAGGAGTTCGAAAATCAGCTCGCGTGGCTGCAGTCGATGGCGAAGCTCACCTTCCTCTTGGCTGCTCCCCTTCCCGAATCTCCGCATGAGCGGGCAATCCACGACGATGAAAAGATTCACCAGGGGATGGTGCGCAGGGAAGGGCCCTTTCCATCAAAATCCAACAGGGCGGAAGGCCCGCAGGGGCTGAACCCCGAGGAAATACGCCAATCCTTTCCCCTTCTCGCGGAGGACGACTACGTGTCGTGGGGGTCTACTTCAGCGGACGACATTTCGATACTGCCCAACAAAGGCTTTATCGGGCAAAAGCCACTTCCAGGGCGCTATATTCCAAGCCAAATAAAGAACATCTTCACAGGTGAGCCGATCAAGGCGAGCTCTACGAATGGGAGCCTAAATCCTGGTGCGAGGAAGCCTTATTTTGTCATGATTGGGGACTGCAATTTGTTCTTACTTAACGACGAGGATGAAGAAAGAGAAAACAACGGGACGACCTCCTCAGCACCAATGGACCGGCGAGTATTTGAGGTCGAGGTGATGATCGCGTATGAGCCGTATCGTCAAAAGGGACTTGCCACGCGAGCACTGCGCATGCTTATCCAATATGCCATCTCAGTCCTTGGCGGGACTGACTTCGTAGCGAAGATATTGGAAAATAACACCCCCAGCATTGAACTTTTTAAGACCAAACTTGGCTTTACCGAATTCAAGCGCGTACGGGTCTTTAACGAAATTCACTACTCACGATCAATCTATACAACCGAAGAAAAACAAAACTGGAAGAATGAATGTGCTGCGTTGGGATGTAGTGATTGTTGGTCTGGTCCGTATACCCAAGACGTGGAACAAAATATGGTGCTTCTAGCCCAAAATCCTTCCTTTAAAATTACAACTCAATCATAACCATATTTAAGTGCTAATAACAATCTGCTAATAACAGGATTTCCTATTTAGTCTTGGGGTCCTACATTTACGTTTAACTAAAAAAAAATCCATATCTATGATGAAAATATCATTATCATTTTGACGTATGCAAAATAGTCACTTAATTCTAATTTTATTGAGTAGTGGGAGGAAAAAAGTATGGAAGGGAACTGACCAAAAAAAGAATTACACTACAGACCTCATATTTGATTACTATCACTTCCAGACAAGTTTGCCCAGGTTTGTAACCGCTCAGGCCATTTAGTACTGTCAGTAAAGGGAAGAAAAGGACACGAACAGGTGTCTGATTACACACATCAAACCCCAAGGGCCTCTCCCCTGTTACACGTTGAGATGAGCCTTGAGACATCGCCAGGAACTCGCCAGGGTGGTGTGAAGCGGCGCAAACGCAGCAACTACTTCACACGCGGTGACCTCGTCTGGGCACGGCCAGCCTCGCTGCCCTACTGGCCAGCCGAGGTGATCGACACCTGTGAGGACCTCAACCGCGTCTGCGCGCGACTTTTGAACCCGCCGAAGGTGGAGCTGCTCGCGAAGAACCTCGCGGAGGAGCACCGGATTCGGCAGCGCGCTGCAGCGAAGCGTCAGAGAAACGCCGGGCTCTCCAACAGCAACGCCCATACAACTACTGAGCTGCCGTTGGCAGAGGCTAACGTAGTTACGGCGAGCGGCACGCGAGTTTTCTTCTTCAGCAAACTCCCAACAAGAGAAAAGTTTAACGCGTGTGTGGAGTTTCGACTTAAACGAGATGCAAACGACATTTCCGCCTATGAAGCGGATTTTGTCAAGGCCGTTGAAGAGGCCAACCGTCTCATGCGCATCGTTCTCGATCCTGAAGAACTGCAGCCGTATGCAGTGTGCGGGGTGGGGATCGTGCACAGCCTTATGCGCACGCACATAGCCGCACCACGCCAACCCAATACCGGTACCTTCGAGCCTCAGACGGCTGTCATCCGGCTCCGTGTAGGCTTTGAGAACGCCGCGCGTGATTTGATGGGGTTTGAGTATATTTGGGTTCTCTTTCAGTTCTCCTACGCGTCGGCTATGTCGAGCGGTGAGGGCCAGAGTTTCGTTATGAGTCTTCAGGAACGGGGGCGAGACTGCAACGTTGAAAGTAGCAAGCCCACGGACGACTCAAAAGACGACGAACAAACAAATCAAACGAAATCATTTGACCTTGTGGAGCCGCAATCGTGCGGGTGGCTCCGGCGACAGGGCATTACGCACTCAAAGGGATTTAAGACAATGGTCATTCCGCCACGTGATGACGAATATCGCGGGGTGTTTTCTACTCGGAGCCCTCACCGACCAAACTTCATTGGTATTTCCTGCGTGCGCTTGGTCGATGTCCATGGGCTCAATATTCATATCGCCGACCACGACCTGCTGCACGGCACGCCGGTCTTGGATATTAAACCTTATCTGCCTTTCTGCGATGCCCATCCGAACGCGAGAGCGGGATGGGTGGAAGAAGTTAATGCAAATGGCAGGGCAAAGACAGATCATAAATACGACACACAGGCTGCGCGGGTTGATCGTATCTTGGATACGCCATCTGCGTAATGCGATATAATGTGTGACATATATATATATATATATACGTGTATGTGTATATATTGAAGAATTGGTTCATCTTCTTTCCTTATATCATTGAGGTTGAGGCGGAAATTTTACAGCGCTAAAGCTCTTAGTATGCGTTGAAACCAATTAAATTACGGTAAAATTCCGTCGGTATGTGTAATTAAATAAGTAATAAAATCAAAAAAAAATAACAATTTCAATTAGAAACGTGATGGGTAGATCCTATTTGGTTCTGTCTACTTATCAGAACTCATTGTAATTGGATACAAAGTTCTCGATGAAGCAAGATTTTATTTTATAGATGTATATTCGAACAACTTCCACCTACCCCCTCTTCCTCCGGAAACTTCGTCTTATCTGCCTTTTTACCCCCTCATAATATTCTCAAAATACTGAATATATAGTATTTCATCACTTTAATAATAATAATCTAAAGAGAATTTGTTATAATAACCTATTCATCACACTAAAAGTACACCTATACTTCTCAGTAAATAAAAAAATACTAACAGCGTAATGAATACAATGAAAACAGGCCAAAATGAAATCAAGACCGTTGAGATACGTCGCCAAATACAAATCCTCTACCGAAGCTACCTCGACGCTAGTGTCCCACATCGTAGCCTGCGCTGGACAATCTTTTCCTTCTTGTGCTTTTTTTATCTGATTCGTGTGCTGACGTATGGTGGTTTTTATGTCATTACCTACGCGTTAGGAATCCACATTTTATATCTGTTGTTGATGCTCATTACGCCGCTTGCCGATCCGGAGGAGCTCGCGACGGACGAAGCGCAGCTCCCTATGCGTGAAGCCGACGGTGAGTTTAAGCCTTTTGTTCCAAAAGTTCAGGAGTTTATAGTCTGGAAGAGTATGATGAAGGTGATTTTGTCTTGTCTGGTACTTGTGATGTTTCCCTTTTTAGATATCCCGGTTTATTGGCCAATACTGCTTGTCTATTTTGTGGTTCTGTGTATTACGCAAATGGGAGGACGTATTAAACATATGATTCGCTATAAATACGTACCGTGGAATGCAGGAAAACCAAAATACGTTCCCAAGAGCAATGTCTGATGAGGTATACACACGCACCGATAAATAAAATGGAAAGGGAGAAATACTCCGGGTATTGTTCAGAAAATTAGAAAGAATGTCTGTGTCTGTGGGTGAGAAAGGAGAAGTCAAATAAAAAACGTAATAATATGTAAGTGGAGTAGCGCGTTAATTTATTCTTCTCTTTAAGAGTTGTTTTTTTGCTATATTATTTCAATGTCTTTGACTATGAAAAATAAAACTTGGCGTTTTAGCGTCTTCCTCTTCCTGTCTACTAATGTTATTATTATGTGTCTTGCTTAAATGAGTTGGAACCCAAACCTAAAGGTAGACGCACTAAAACCTTTGACCGATATGAATTGTCTATGATCTTTGATGAGCAATCCTCCATAGTAAACAAGGTCACAAGTTTGTTTCCTTTATTATGATTGCTCTTTCCCCTCACCATGACGATCCACACCAGGATATTTATATTTACTTTATTCCTTTCTTTTTCCCTCTAAAAAGCGAACTTCCTCTAGCAACCGACTCTCAAACGACGTTGTCCTTGTAGAGTCTAGTTTATTCTCCGATATATATCCATATCTATCTATCTATTTCTCTATTTTTGCAATACACAAAAAGCGGATCCCCCTCCACACACGCAACCCTATTGATTCTTTCCTGCATTGAGCCCTCCACCATGTCGAATGAAAAAGGCGCGTGCCTGACGAAGATGCCAGCCCGCCTCCCGGAGGACGCGGGGGCGGAGAAGGAGATCATCCCGCTCGATAGGGACGACATTGCGCTTCTGAAGCTCTACGGCTCCGGCCCCTACCACGGCGCGATCAAAGAGCTTGAGGACTACATCAAAACCAAAGCGGAGTCCCTCAACAAACTGGCGGGGATGAAAGAGAGCGAGATGGGCCTCGCGCCGGCGGTGCAGTGGGACCTCAACGCGGACCGCCAGGTGATGGAGACCGAAAGTTCCCTTCACGTGGGCCGCTGCCAGCGGATTTTGAACAAAGGCGCGGAGAACGCGCGATATGTGGTGCGGATTCGCGACCACGCGAACTACGTCGTCCGGCTCGGCGACCGGGTCGCGCCGGAGGACATCGAGGAGTCGATGCGTGTGGGGATTCACATGGGCTATAGCAAAATCCAGATCGAAATCCCCCTCCCGCCGCGAGTGGACCCGTCGGTGGGGATGATGCAGGTGGAGGACAAGCCGGACGTGACCTACGCCGACGTCGGGGGGATGCGCGCGCAGGTCGCGCGGCTGCGGGAGGTGGTCGAACTCCCCCTGACCCACCCCGCGCGTTATACCCGGCTCGGGATCGACCCCCCGAAGGGCGTTTTGCTTTACGGCCCCCCGGGGACCGGCAAAACGCTGCTCGCCAAGGCCGTGGCGAACCGAACGGAGGCGGCCTTCATTCGCGTGATCGGCTCCGAGCTCGTCCAGCGCTATATCGGCGAGGGCGCCCGCATGGTCCGCGAAATCTTTCAGCTCGCCCGGACGAAAAAGGCGTGCATTATCTTCTTCGACGAGGTCGACGCCGTCGGCGGGAGCCGCGGCGGCGACGGCGATAACGAGATCGAGCGCACCATGCTCGAGATGGTCAACCAGATGGACGGCTTCGACGCCCGCGGGAATGTCAAGGTGATTATGGCGACCAATCGCCCCGATACCTTGGACCCCGCCCTGACCCGCCCGGGCCGCATGGACCGAAAGCTCGAGATCGGCCTGCCGGATTTGGAGGGCCGGACGAGTATCCTGCGCATCCACGCCCGCTCCATCTCGTGCGATAAGGAGATCCGCTTTGAGCTGATCGCGCGGCTTTGCCCGAATACCACGGGGGCGGATTTGCGCTCAGTGTGCACCGAGGCCGGCATGTTCGCCATCCGCGCGCGGCGAAAGACGATCAACGAAAAGGACTTCCTCGACGCCGTAAATAAGGTGATTAAGGGCCAGCATAAGTTCAGCGCGACCGCGAAATATATGGTCTACAACTGATGGCCAAAATAAAAATGAAACCCTAAAAAAAGAGGCGCACTATGGCGTCAAAAAGAAAAGGAGGGGGGGGCTTATTCGATGTAAACATGTGGAAGTGTAGGAGGAGGAGAGGGTGACGTGGCGATTTAGATGTTTATTTCGATGACATCCGATTTGCTCATGTTGGGATGTTTGGTGCTTGGGTGTCGTTTGTTTGGAAATTGCTTATTTATATAAAATTTATTTTGTAGGGGGGGGGGGGCCAGACGTGTATTGCGAGTCTTGGATGTGTTATTATTATTATTATTATTATTACTCATTCAAGGCAATTGCAACTTTTATAACCTTCTCCCTGCTTGCCTCGCTTTCTGATTGCATTCAGTAATTATTATTTCCTTTTAATTTTCATGCAATATTTTATCTAGTTCATCTAGGAAATAATCGAAAATGGGAACAGTGTACACGCATAAACTTGTCGATGCGTGTGAGTGAAAGAAGGAGGGGAGATTGTCTCGCTAATGATTATTATCTTCGCTTTGTGGCTTCTCCTTTTGTATCTTATTTTCTTTCTAAAAGTGTTAATAGGATTAGACCTTGTTTTCATTATTATTATGTGTGGTAGCTCTTTTTAAGCACAATAACGATTCAAAAGGATCCCACACGTCAAGCGAGATCGCATTTTTCAGCTTCGAAGCCTTTTCCACCCAAGAATTCCTTTTAATTTTCCAAAATGAATATACACTCTATCGCAGGACGGCATGGCTCCTACACAACGCAGTTTTTTCGCCCTTCCAAATCCCCTTTTCCCACACGCGCGGCCATGCTCAAGGCGCATAGCCTAAAAGCCCTGAATCGTCGTTTAGTGATTCCAATCGACACCAATAATTGGATGCGCGCGTTGGAGATCGTTTACGCAAAGTACGCAATTCTCGGTCGAACCCCTCAGCACTTTCAATCCATTCTTCGAGGTCTTATTCAACAATCGACTACTTCTTCACACCAACTGAAGGAGCATTCGGATATTATCTCGCGGATTCGTGGGGAGGCCTACGCAGGCGAAATTCCAACCAATAGCTCGCTATGGATCACCTTGTTGTGGGCGCATTGCGCGTTGGACGACGTGGAGAACGCGCTGGAGTGTTATGCGCAGGCGGCCCGGCGAGAAGAATTTTCTTTCCAGACGAAAAAACACATGGCGGGGATGCTTCTCGAACTGCTCAGCCGGCATGGCCGCTTGGAGGCCGCGGAGGATCTCGTCAGGGGGGTTTCTGAGGCGGCAAAGGCTCAAAAAGAACGCGAAAGGGATGAATCGAAACGTTGGGGGAACCCCGGGCTTGATCCGGAACGCGTTCATCGATTGCTGGCAGAGGCGGCGGCACGCCAGGGGAATTGGCGAAAATCGCTCGAGGAGCTCTCCACAATATCTTCTTCGTCAAACACGGTAGATTCTTCTTCCGTTATTAGCGCGTTATTTCAGCCTCAAGAGGATGGAAGCGCATTTTTAAACACTTCGGGAAAACCCCAAAAGGACGAAAGAGGAGAACGAAAATCTTCGGCATCGCCTTTTGCTTGCTTATCACGCGAGGCGCTACGTCGCCTTTTTCACGCCCTCGCACTTACTAACGATAAACAAGAAGAAATGTTAAACTGCTGGAAAGAACTTTACGGCAGTTGGGAGAAATCGAATCCTAATAATAATATGGAAAAGGATTTTCCTCCTGCGGAGGATGTACAATATCTTCTTAACGGTTTTGCCCTAAACAAGCGCTTTGAGGATGTTCTTTCGGCCTTTACTGTTTACTATTTAGGGTGCCCGGGTGATCACTACACACGAGTTCTTACGATGGGAAATAAAACGAAAAAAGAAAAGGGGAAAGGCATATCAAGCTGGGAAGGTGCGGAAGTGTCCTCTCATCTCCCGTTAGATCCCGTCGCTCTTAATCTAGTGTTTTCCAGCTTTCCACGTGAGGAGTTTACCTATAAAATTTCGTCGTCGTCTTATTGTGGTCTTTTACCACCACATTTAAAACTCGAAAGGCCTCTTCATTCGGAATTAATTATTTCCTTATTTAATGATCTTATCAGTCGAGATGATATGATAATGACAGATTACATTTTAAATGGCGTAGGATTTGCATTAGTGGAAACAGGAGAAGTCAAGCGTGCGCTGCGGCTACTACACGGGGCCTCAATTTTTTCATCCTCAACCACAAAAAGAAATATCAACGCCGCAGAGCGTAATATTCAGCGTCGCTTAATCGATCTTATATTTTATATTTATCATTCCTCCGGGCAAGACATAAAAAATCTCGCGCTGGTCGACTTCCCTCAGCTTTTCCCGAATGAATTACGACTACGCCGCGAACTCTCTCCCCCACCTCAAGAGGATGTTCGCAAAGAAGAACACCCTATCACAGCGGCTTCTTCTTCTTCTTCAGAACAAAATAAAAATGATTTATCCTTTCATCAACCTTCGGAGCTATTAAGCGATGAGGAGAGAATCCACGGTATATTAAAAAATCGGTTACCGAGCTCCATACGCCCTTCCCGGCATCATTACTTCCCGCCGCGCTCAACTTCACTTCTTACAGAACTTCAGGAGCTCCGCATGGCGGATGATTTTGCCGCCATCCATCGTGAAAATAATAATCCTGAAAAGCATAATACTTATTGGAAGGATGCGGAAAAGGATCCTCGTCCGATACCGAAAGGACTTCACGATCACGCAAGTGGGTGGGATTTTTACGGCCGTGGTGGAGAGATGGTTTTCAACAATCATCGCCGTATTCCGCATCCTTTTAGCATGCACCCGAAGGTCATGCGGGCGCTTGGGAACCCCTACAGGGGATGGAACCCACGGCAAAATAGTTGTCTTGCGCATAAGGAAAACGTAATTAAGTGGAATAAAAAGAGTGCGGTTTGATAAAAGGTTACCTAATTGGATTTATCATTAGGGATGATTATTAACGGGTTGAATGTGAAAAGGCGAAGAGAGGGTCAAGAGTGATTTATTCTAAATTTATTTTCTGGTATGGTTGGTATTACTTTCGGAGGCAGTTATTAGCTCATCCCCATTTTTCCTTACCCTCATTTCATTAATGGAGAAAAGGGGAGGAAAGACGTGCTGAGATGAAGCAAAAGAAGGCAAGCCTTTCTCGTATGAAAAGGCAGAATAAGCAAAATTTGGTAGAAAAAGGTAACGATTTTTACAATGTGAAATCAGACCATATTCAACAAGAACTAAAATGAAATGCATTATTAAGACGTGTATTTTTCTCTGTTTCACTTTGCTTTATTCCAAACAAAGATATACGATTGTTTTATTCGGAGACGCTCATGCCTTCTCAACCGAAGATGCGTTGTTTAAATCATGGCTGACACGCCCCCCTCCCCCCTCTCCGAGTCACCGGATTGACCCATCCCAACCAAACTTCTCTCCTCGTCTCCGCCTTTTCCCGAGCTTTTGTTAGTTACGCTAGTCCTTCTTTTGCCTTCCCTGGGGCACCGGAATATGAGCACGAGCCTCGCGCGGAGCCTGGCCGCGGTCCAGCGCGCGGCAGAAGTAGCGCGGCCGGGGGACGGAGGTCCCGCCCATCCGGCCGTGTCCCTCACCGCCGAGGCCGCGACCCTCCCTGCCCACATCCGCGCCAGCACCGACCCCCGCAAGCTGAACCTCCAAACCCCCTTCTTCCGCTGTCCGGGCTGGGCCGACCTGCCGCCGCGGCCCTTCCACCTGCGCTGCCGTCGTGGGGGGCTGGAGCTGCCGGCCCTCGCCCTGCACCGCTTCCCCTTTTACCTGCTGGGCCGCAGCCCTGTCAGCGACTACGTCCTCGCGCACCCCTCCCTGAGCGCCCTCCACCTCGCCCTTGTCTTCCACGGCGGGCAGGGCTGCTTCGTTGCGGTGGACCTCGGCTCGACGAACGGGTCGCGGGTGGACGGGGCGGCGCTGACGGGGGGGCAGCCGACGCCGCTGCCCGTCGGCGCCCGGCTCCGCCTTGGGCGCAGCGCGCGGGAGTACGAACTCCGCCCCGGCCCCC